ATCACAGCCATGTTTAGATATTCTAGTGACAATCTAATATGTGGCAGTAGTTGTTGTCGATTTTATTGTTGTTGTTGTTCCATTCCTACTACGACAAAATACTAAACGCGACAGGAAAAATTGGTATCGAAAAACCATTGAATTTAAACGAAGCGAACATGCCAACGGAAAACTAACGAAGAGTGTATGGCGCGCCAGTCATGAGCTTTGTTCGACGATGAGAGCAAAAAAGAACACAACAACATTGAATGTAATATCGGTTAACAACAAGGACATCGAACTGCAAAACAAAACCAAAACACATATATACAAAGAAGACAGCCAATCGAAATCTAACTGAAGCATCAACAAAAGAGATTAGACGAGAGATGGAAGAGTAAAATGGTTTGGCATGCACGTAACCAATACTCTTGTTATTCTGTAGCGATATCAGCATTTTAACGATGGCACGGTGAATCTTGCATAACAACAGTGCCATAGCATCATGCAGCACCACACCAGCAACAAATACAAAATCAAAATAAAAACACTTGCTTCATTTCAACATTTACGATAGTTTAGCTTTCAACACATTTCGCATTGTGAATATGTGAGACATTTCGTTGCGGATATATTTCGATTCGATGCCATTGAAAGCGATAACAACAACAATAAATAACCGTAATTGAAATTGGTTGTCGCTGAGAGTTAAAAAGGATTTTTCGACATCTGCTTTTTTTGTCATCGCCCATTCTAACACACATACGCTTTGCACGCTGATTGTACGATTTTTCACATCAAGACAATTCTCGTTTTCTCTCACTTTCTCACTGGGTAAAGTGGACAGCGATGAACCCCAATTGTGCTTTTGTAAAGAGAAAAAAATGGACGGAGAAGGCGACTTGATTTGGCAGTGGCACACAAAAAATCACGATTGATAACTCTGATTTTATCCATGTTTAAACGAAGATTGGAACTCAACCATAGCAGTAGCATTACATAAAGATTTATTTGGAAATGGTGAGTTTTTCATGTTCACAGACGGTGTTATTTATATTGGCTCCTAGTTTCAGTGTTTTCATGGCAATTAGTACATTGTGACAAAACACACTTCGTATTTCAGTTGCCATTTGATTGAATGAAACAAGCACGTTTAATGCATGGCTTCAATGAAGACAATTACTCACCCGTTTCATTAACTCGTTTCAGAACGGGAGTTTCCAAAGCCAATTTCTATACAGAAAATACGGTTGTGTAACTGTTTTTGACCAATTTATGTGCATTTTTTTTTGCTGGAATATATACCGTTTTCTTGGAATGCCGAAGAAACAAAAAATGAAATTTCAAAGACTTTTGGTATGACGCTGATGGTTACTAACGAGAGAAATCAATTTCAATTTATCAAAATCAATTTAATAATGCTCATAGTCGGAAAAAGTAATTAAATTTTCAATGCACGTGTCATCGGTTTTCGAAAATAAATTTGCGTATATTCTCTCTCTCTCTCTCTCTCTCTCTCTCTCTCTCGCAATCCATTGCTCTTTCGCTCTCACCGCTGATTGAACACAAATAATTGAACAGAATTCTTTCGTGTCACTTACATCAAACCGTTTTAATAATCATGCCAGAAATGTTATTTGATTATCTCGAACAAATTGAAGCACGTGAAATTGCTGCCAGCGTAGCTATGCGTCATTCAAACAACAATAAAGTATTCGATAAAAGTATCGGCATCTTTGAAGAATTTTAATGAGTGCGAGTTTTACTAAAAAAACTGAATATGTACCTATCAGAAAGCATTATTCATGAATTTGCAAACGCTAAAATCTATACGAACACTTCAGGTTTGCCTTTTTTTTTTCAAATGACATTTTAGCGTTTTCGACCGACGCTTTTTGCGAATAATAAAAAGTATGGAAGAATTCAAGTTGTAAGTGTACGTTTTCTCTATCTTTCTTTTCTTCGATCTTTCTTTTCCTTTCCACCATTCTGCTGTCTACTCTTCACTTCTCTGTACCGTGTGTGAGATGGAAAGAAACAAAACCTAAAAAAAAATCTGGGTTCCAAAATTACAACGCAAACACGGTATGCAATGCACGTAAATTACGATTCATTTTTTTTTCTTTCGATTTTACGTTCGCATATACGCGCTTTCCTATCGGTTATACTCTGTGATTCTTTGTTTAGAGACCTACCATTAAATCTGATTTTTCTTGTTTCAGGTTATTATTAAGTGCGATTACGATTACGCTTACCGCATCATTAATTTACTAAGCATTGGATCGAATCGAGCTGCGGCTCCAAAAAGTAACAACACAAACAAAAACAAGTGAAAAGCAAAAGAATCGAAAAAAGTCTCAAATGTAAAGAGCAAAAAAAAAATACAAAGTTAAAAGAAAAAAGCGTGAGCCGAAAGCAGTGAAAAGGGAAATGAAGGAACAGAAAAAATGCGTTGTTTGAAAGACGGTGAGTTTTTTTTTTCGTATCGTACAATTTGATTTTTGCCCAATGCTTTGTTAATCCATTTCGATATAGATTGTTGTTGATCAATGTTGATGTGTGTGCGCGTTGACTTAGTTTCCGATTTATTTACTTCGAATGTTTATCGTGTAATTGGTGTTCATAGAGAGGCCGTGCGTTGTTGTGTGTTTCGTTTTTTTTTTCAATTGTCAGCAGCACAGCGGACACCATTGTATATGTGTAATGCATTTGATGAGCAAGCGAGTCTGATTTTTTGATTTACCTCATTGAAAAGAATCTCGTGTATTTTGTTCATCTTTACATTTTTCGTTTCGTCTGCCGTCTTCATCGTCGTTGTTGCCGATGCGAAAGTGTCTGCGTGCTGACACAGTGCATGCTGTTCATTCTACATAAACAGAGTCGTGTCTGTTTTCACTAAATCTACAGTAACATCATGAAGTAAAATGAAGTAAAAAAAAAAACGTTTATTTTCGATTCAATATTTCGGAATTTTTATTTCCAATTTTCTCGTGTTTTTTTTCTGGTTATATTTTCATGTAATTTTTGTTTCTTTGTTCTTCTTAATCATCACTTTATTTACAATGATTCCTTATACATTTCGGTATATGCGCTTGGTTGTCGGTCTTTCTGTTTATTCATTTAAGTTTTTTCTTTCATTCATGAATAATATTTGATACATATATGTATAGAGAGCTATTGTGCTAAGTGAAATACCGTTTTTTTTGGATTATCTGATATAATTAGTAACATGTTTGTGTGTGAGTGTTTTTTCTCTCAATGAATGGAATTTCTTTATTATTTTTTTTGGGTGTTATTTTGTTCATTTTTATTACTCGAAATATGATTTTCTTCTGTCATTGAATAACTTAATTATTATTAGGTTTTTTTTTGTTTTCATTATCACTGTACACCTACTAGTTTGAAGGAATTATCATGTGTCCAATTTATTTCTTTTTATGTAATTTTCTTCATCAAAAAAACTCCGCCATTATGGCGAATACATTACGTTTCGTTCCTTTTTTTCTAAACTTAAACAAATTTAAATAACCACAATCTGGATTTTAAATGATAATTTCGTATATACAAGTCTTTTCGTTATTTAGGTATTTCTTTTTTTATGTTTTTTTTTCTTCTTTTTTTTCACCTCTTAAAATTATACATGGAATCATCCATTGCGGTTTTTTCTCAATCGTTTTATTTATAGTTTGACATTAAATACGTTTAATAAATGCTCATTTAATTTGCCACAATTTTCATTCTTTAGCTGTTAGTTAAAGTGTTTTGTGTGTTCTTCTTTTTCATACGAATAAATTCATACAATTCTGTGTTACTTTGGATCGATTTCCATATACGAAAAAAAATCAAAACAAAAAAACGCGCGCACACACACATTCAATACAGCTCGTTTTGATTCCGTGATATGTCAAGGCTTTGCGCATAGCATAACATTGCGTTGTTTCATTTGACGTGACAAGAATTTAAATGTTTAGGCCAATTTCAATTTATTCTGTACTAACATCGATGTCGACGATCCCAATTTCAGGGAAATCGCTTCGCTTTTCGATTCAATTAATTTTTAGCGGTTTTAAAAAAAAGAAATCACAAAATTCAAATTATAATTCTGAAATCGTATGACAACAAATGAAACATTGCAAGTGTTTGACTTTCGAAATAACCGCTTCATACCACAGATTGGAAAAATATTTGTTCTTTTTTTTAAATACATATACATATCTATACATATATTGAAACAGTTTTGTTTTATTGTGTGTGTTTTAAATTATTATCCGCAATTTACTGTCATAAAACGACTTAATTTGACTAGAACGATCGGCTGCATTATGATCGCCCCCAAATTCAAATGACACCTTCCTTTCTTTTACATCAAAATAAATCTATTCCCATATAAAAATATACGCGTACAAATCAAACAATTTTAATTTGTTGTCATAATAACGTAATCTATGTGTATTGTTTTTTTTTTTATCAAACTCATAAATAATACAAAAAAACGAACTCTGAAAAAAAAAAATCCGGTGAAAACTCAAACAATTCACGAAATTGTTGTAATTATTTTCCAAACACTACAAATCGGGTATCGGATTAAAACTCACAAAAGGCAATTGAATAATAAACGTACATATAAAAAAGAAAGAGATTAATATGAATCAAAACTAATACAATCTAAAACTCGAATGTAAGTTGCGAGTATGATAAACGAAAATTAGGTCGATATGATATTCGTATAAAATAGAAAAATATAAATATTGATTTGTGTGTATGTGTTTGTATTTGAGTCTCTCATTTCTAATTCTCTCCGGTCGGCATTTTTATCTGAATACTCATGGAATCACGTTAAACGATTTTCGATCCATATAGAATTTCTTCAATCATTGTTTGTTAATTACTATAAACTGTTTTTGTCCCTCCTTGTAAATTCGAACGAATGATACTGAATTTGTTTCTTTATTTTGTGTGTTTCTGTTTGTTTTTTTGGCTTCTATCCAAGAAGGGATACAATTTCGGTACATTTTCATACATGTTTTTTTTTTTTTTGATGTAATTCTGTTGTTGTCTATGTATGAAAGGAGTTTTGTGTGTTATAAGGTAAAACGTGTATCTAATCTAGTATATATATATTTATAATATGTATAGTATGATAGAATGAAATTACACGTCTGTGCCACAACCTTCTTGGTATCCTTCGTCCGGTGAATTTCGGCTGCTGGTTAAAGCTCGTTTCAATGCAGTGACTGGTGGTAGTACAGGAACACCACCACGTTGCCATACACGTAGAGTTTTTGCATTTGAAATTCCGGTTGGTGGTAATGCTTCGCGTGATTTATGATGCTCGGCGCCCGGTACCATTGGAAGGCCATAATCAGATGGATAACCACTTGTACTGCTACTGCTACTGCTTGTCGCAATGCCCGCACTAATGCCGCTCGTAACAACGGCCATATTATTTAAATTATTCAAATTATTGTTATTATTGATAATTACGCTATCGTTTTGTTCACTGGCGATCATATTTTCACTACTGCGCATTCCATTACTACTAACTAAATGTTGAGCGATTGCCGTTCGTGGAAATGTTCGACTGTGATAGTCAACGCCAGTCGATCCATGTGTCTCATCATCAAAATTGATCGTATGAATATTTTCGATGATTGGCATTTTTTCACTATAAATACTACCGCTGCCATTGAATGCATGCTGTAATGTTGCATTTGCCGCCCGTTTTAAATACAAATCTTGTGCGGCTGCCGCTAAACTGTGTTGAGTTTGTTGATTTTGTGTTAGGCTTGGACCATTCGATTCCCACAGGCCAGATGGATATAATGAATCACAGCCACCGGCTCGACTATATTCGCCGCTACCATGACGATCCATTGAATCACAATTTTGCGATGTGGTTGGTATTTGTAAATTGGCCGCATCCATTGCTAGCGGATTGAATTCACCACTTCCGAAGCGTTTTGTATCATTTATTAAATCCGGATTATTACCGGCGGATGCCGTTGGCGATGCAAACAATGCACTACCAGCCGTAATAATGCTACCGTTACCATCATAATGACTTGTTGAATATGTAATATCGGTTAAACGTGGTGGTTTTTGTACTGGATTCGCAAGTTTTACATCATTCGCCTCTTTTCGATCGTTTAATGCATTCGATGCATTCACATTATTTGTGTCCACATAAATATTATTGCATGTTGGCTTTCCATTAACGGTTACTTGTTGATTTGCATTTGTTGTGATCACTTCCAAATGACCGGGTGATTTACTTTCCAAAAATGGATCACGTCGCATACGATCCAATAGGAAGCATGACGTTGCCAAAATGAATAACATTAATACAATAAGTGCTGCACTTAATCCAATAATTTGATGACTTCCCAATGATGTGCCAACCGAACGCATTGAAATGTGTAGTGTAAAATTGGCTTCAGTACTGCCAGCTCGATTTTCAGCCACACAATAAAATTCACCAGAGTCCGAGTCTTGTGCATTGGTTAAAACAAGACGACTTTGTTTTTCATACTCTCCATCTTCCAAAATGTACAATTTTTGATATGAACTATACGATGAACCATTATTCAATTGACGACCATTCCAATACCAATTTATAACGGCCTGTGGAACAGCATGAACGCGACAAGTGACTGTTGCATTTGTGCCGGACGTTGATTCAACAAAACGATTAACAGGCATCATTTCTGGTTTGCAGGCAAAATCGTCTTGGCTTAGATCATCAAATGTTCGATCGATAACGCGTTCGGGACCACTACGGCATACCGGTGCTATTGATGGTACCAGTCGTTTTTCATGCAACCACATTTTAGCGTTACGCAAACGACAATCACATATCCATGGATTATCGTGTAATTCAATGTTTGACAATTTTTGAAGCGTATCAATGGTTCTCGGTCGAAGTTCATTGAGTTTGTTGCCATTCAATTTTAGGACTTGTAATTCTTGAAGCCCAATAAATGCTTCGGGCGTTATTGTTTGAATATCACAATGTGATAAGTCCAATTTGGTGAGTGTATGTTTATTTCGGAATATTTGACTGTCAATCTTTTGAATTGGATTTCTGGCCAATGATAATTCGCGTAATGATGGTATAAATGCAAGAATTGCCGTTGGTACTGCCGTTAATAAGTTATCGGATAAATCCAATTCGACGAGATTTGTGAGGCCATCGAATGCTGCACTGTCGATTTGACCGAGACGACAATTACGCAGATAAACTTTTTGTAAATTCAACAAACCAACGCGACTAAATGTGTCACGCGCTAAAATTTGTAAATTATTATCCGACATATCTAGCACTTGGGTCTGTTGTTCAAGATCTTCGGGAATGGTAATCAATGAATTACGCGTACATTCGACGGTTTGTTTGCCACCTTTCCACTTGCAAACGCACACCGAATAGCATGATGAGCCTTCACTACTGCCAATCAATGTACATAATACAATCAGCTGTACGACCACCGTAAATGTCAATAGTTCACGAATGAAATGTCGCTTTATCGATGTCATGTTTGTTTTGTTATTTTTGTAAATGAAGAAAAAAAAATTATCAATTGGAAAAAATAAAAACTTTGGTTAAGATTGTCGACGAAATAAAAATTACATTTGATTTATTCACTTGATTCGGGTCTTTTACTAACATTTGGATATTCTATTTTCAGTTTCTGTTTTCAAGTTGTAGCTTTTATTTCTTTTTATTTGTTTTCTTTTTTTTAAACTGCAATCAAACTAGGCATTATGTAATTTCGCGTCGTGAGTCATTGGTCTCTTAAATGCACATCATACATAATTCACACGGGACGAGATCAAATTGATTTTAAATTTTATTTCGTTTTAAATTCGTCTGTTGAATCGCATTCAAACGTTGGAATCTCTTTCATTTAGCCGAACATACTAGCTGCGATTCATCTCGCTGCGATTACATAACGATGAAAATATTTTCCGTGCAATTTTTCACACCGCATTCAACATATAATGCAACTCTTTCACAATTGCAGTCAAATTGGATTTATTTATGTGAAAACGGAACAATTTAAACGGCGACTACTTTTTTCTTTTCCCTCTTGTTTCTTCACAATATATAAAATATAATTTTCGGTCGTTGATTTATCGAGCCAAATTGGATCAATTTGCACAATGAATGTGTAGTAGTTGTTCGTGTGTAGTAGTTGTTGAATATGGATTTCTTCGTTTAGCTGCACATTCGGTCAAAAGCACTCTTAATCACTTTAATCACTGATAATCCGAACGACTTTGGCAAATGTGTTCATTGTTTTGCTCTGCTTTGTTTCAGTTCTATTTCGTTCTCGCTTCTTTCCAATCAGCTTACGTGATATACGATATTTTAACACGCACAAACTGTTACTAAATTGGCAGAATTTTTTTTAAGCAGTTATATTTCGTTTTTGTTTTTAATGTTTATTCACAAGAAACAAAAATTTGTTTTATTTCATATATGTTTCGTGTATATGTGTTAATATTTCCTTCCTCTTCATTAACGTGCGTATAGTTTTTTTTTATCGAGAATGGTTTCAGTGTCACCTTGGTATTGCGGTTGATATGAACAGTTACATTTGATATGGCAGTGAATAGTTTCTTATGAATTTCATCATAATTTCATGCAGAAATAACCCATTAACTTTTCTCATTGGCCAATTATTACAATTCACTTGTCATTTAATAAATGTTATTCGATTTTCATTTGATTTTGTTTCTTTGTTGTATATTTCACAAGCACATTCCCAAAAACTAGTCATTTGCTCAAATAAGCAGAACACTTAATGAATTTCGTTTGAGAAATACGACCGTTTTCTTCTTTTATTCAACAAACAGTGAAACTTGCACGGTTGTTTATTATTTTACGTTTTTCGTTCCCTTTTAATTAACAACTTTCGTTGAACCAAATTATCTTTCTCTCTCTATGTATTTTTTTTTGGTTCATTTTCTTCTTTTCTAATGCGTTTTTAAGTTCTGGAATTCCGAAACCGAAAAAGCGTAGAAATCCGATAAAATACGTCTGAACGGTACGGCTTACAATCGTCGACTGAATTTTACGATCGTCGTGCGTACGGGCCAAACCTCAGCGTTGAAAATACACAACGCAAACATGTACGCTCATGTGTAATTCGGAACCAAAGCAAAGCACATCGAAAATCATCGCCGGAGAACTGTGTCTCTGGAGTATATATCGAAACGTACAATACACACATACACATGCATAACATTTGTACGCGGAGATCTCGCGCCGTTCTCTCCCTCGTTCATTTTTACTGTTCGTATGTGTTACAGTTCTTTTTTTTGTCTCATTCTCCGTAGAAACCACTGCAACGATTGCTTTGAGAAGAATTCTAAACGGAGGCAAACGAGAACAACAAAACTAAAATGCAAAGAGGATAACACACAAAAAAACACCAACAAGGACCAAGGCGAACACACATCAACCAACCAGCTAGTGTACACTGTTAAAAATATATTGAAAATTCATCGCTCGTGTCGTACAACATTCGAAAATGTTGATGTGTATGTGTGTGTGGCACGTACGGTTTCTCATGCAATGAGCTGCACACAAGCAGCAGGGGAAAATACCATTCATCGGCCGCATCTGCGCACCAGATGTTTTAATGAAATTAGTGTTTTTTCATTCATTTCTTCATTGAAATGTCTCGACGTTCAAATGACTCATTTTCAAAATACGTGCGATGGTTACCAGTTTTCTGTATATGTTCATTGCGCTACCAATCGCACACATCACATTCCCCTTCAGAATGAACTGAGTTCATTGCACAAAGGAGAAATGCATGGTTCTTTGGCAGCTACGTTGTGTGCCTCTTTATTTTTGAATTTCTGATATAGAAACTACATTTCACAGTACATTCGTAGCGTCGACTCGATTTTTCTTGCGAAATCTGTGACATACTCGGCTGACAAAATGCAATTTTCTGACTTTAAAATAAAATCTTTACAATCTGTTTATTTAGTAAACTGAATTTCTTGTTTCGTTTTTTTTTATTATTTCTGCCAAATGTTTTGTTCTTTTTCCATTGCACACAGATGTGTGTTTAATTTTAAAACTATAAACAAGAAAAACATTCGACAACGAAATCCTTGTGAGAGCTAGAAAAAAACGAACACACAAAAAAACCATACACACATTATCGGAGATAAGTCAGGCCAATATGTTTTAATCTTTTTGGTTCGTATGCTTTGCACTGAACCGTTTACATGGGCTCCGATTGCAATCTATAAATATAAACACCAATTTCAGGGACTGATATAGAGACCATTTTTTTGTTTCTTCTTTTTCGGTGTGTTTCTCTCGGTACTTTTCATTCATATGTAACATTCATATTTTGTGTGTGTGCAATGCCGACATGAACTAAAATCCTTATACCATTTTTATGATCGAAAAACGCATTTTTAACAATAATTCGGCTTAAAATAACATTTATTTTGCTTTGTAGGACTTTTTCTCTTTGTTTCTCTCCCTCTCTCTCTCACCTCCGTCTCTTTCGTTCTCTTTCCATTTCAAAAATTAAAATGGTTTATTGGGATTTTCCAAAATAATAATATCACAAACGTGTGTGTAGGTTACAAATGGGTCCGATTGGTATTCAATGAGTTAGACAATTGAGTGGAAAAAAATATAAATACAAATGCAGGGAAACGAAATTTCTTTTATTTCGAATGGTGTGAGAACAAAATGATCTGTGGATTTAAAAAAATAAATAAATATCGATGCAATGGCACAATGAATGTCGCTAAGGGAAAGGGAAAATATTATTGTTATTTTACTTCTTCTTCACCAAAATGTACGGAAAATATAGAAAAAATTATGGAAATGTATAATCCGGAGACTTGGTGAATGAGCACATAACAATGGAGAAAGAAATAGACAAATTTTCGAATCGACCGAAACTCTGGATTTGCAAGTGGAGAATAAAGACGACCAACTCAATGTAAACGTTTTTTTTTAATACGTAAAATGGTGCGAGAGTTCTTTTAATTTACTCAAGAATAAAAGTGATGAATTCAAGCCAAGTAACAAAGTAAACAGAAAGAAAAACATGTCACTTGCAGATGGCATTTTCCATGAATTTGTTTACGTCCTTCCACTGTAATTGGTTGATTATTATTTTTTTTATTTCATTCGGCTGTGGTGCGATTTCTTAGAATGGCAAGCAAAGGCGAGATGGAGCAAAAAAAAATCAGATGGTGGTGAAAACAGAGGAGATTTACAACAATTTGTGTAATTACATTGCTTCAGCTTAATCAAATCCATGGTAAAATATGTCCTTTGTCTTCAGTAATTAAACAAGTATAAAAGCATGCGACATTTTTATAACGATGATGATATTTCGTCTGTTCATGCATAACAACGTTTTTATGGTCATAAAATTGGAATCTGTGATAATTGTTCGGACGATCTATTCAAAGTACTATGGTTTGCTTGACACATTTATTTTTATTGATGTTTTTTTTTTTGCTTTCGTCATTGTTATAGTCGCAATCGAATCAGAAATAAACTCAAGCCAGAAAGCAATGTCATGTTTGCATTTGGCGCATACGAATTTCGGACGAAAAACAATGTATTTTGCAAAGAAATCGGCAACATTTTACGCATTCATTCATACAAGTGTCAACAGGACTGAACGTGTGTATCGAGCTCGGCAACAGTTTCAAATCACATTACAGTGCACAAAATCAATCGAAACATTTAAGGGAGAAAAGAGAGATCGAGAGAATGAGTTTTTATTTCTTATTCTTCACAGCTTCATTGTGAAGACAGATTACTTCGTTTCGGCTCTATCCATTTCTGTTGATAATCCACGAGCGGCAGTATCTAGGCAGAGGTGCAAACATAGCAGGATAAAAACACACAAAACACAAAACAAATATACATACATCATGCGTACATTCACACGTATACGAAAGCGACAGAGATAAACAGACCGAATGAAAAAGGACGAAAAATGTACAACAAAAATGAGAAATGATTTTCGGTTACGACCGAGTCCAAGTGTCCTTGTTATTTTTTTTTCTTATTAAATGTGCGTGAAGATTGTGTTTGGAAGACGATGCGCAAAAACAGCCGTTCTGGTCATGAAAGAGCCAGAGAGTTTGAAACGACAAATGTTTGAATGCATTGAAGATAAAATGCGTAGAAATAGCAACGGAAGTGACATAGTGGGTAATGAATCACCTTGCTTTGATTCAATTCATTCATATATATATATTTTTTCATCTCTCTCGTTGTTTTGTTGAACGTTTGTCATCTTCTTCTCTGCCACTCCGTCTCCCTTCCTACTCATTCATTCATAGGTGTTGCGTGCACATTCGTGCTTCTTGCAATACTACGCTCTATATCTATTTGCCATTGTTCAAAATTTCATTTATGAATTAGAAATATGTGTTCTTTTTCTTGTGTGCATTTTTTTCTCTCTCGATCTTTGTTTTGTTACGTGCGGATTGACTGTTACAATTCATTTTTCTATATCCTGTCGCATCGTTTGTTTGATGCCCTCCCTGGATAAACGATTCTATTGTTTTTTTCTTCTCTGCTGTGTGTCCATTTTATTTTCGTGCGGAACCTTTAGTATGCTATGAACACACTCGGTAATATTGTTGTTGCCGTTTTTTCTCTCGGTTGGAGAGCGCACAACGAGTGGGCATATATAAGATAAATAGGAAGAGAGATTTGAGAGCGCACGCATCCTCACGATTTCTTTTATTTTCTATCCAGTTTTTTTCTCTTCGTTGGTTCGCGTAGTGCGATTCTGTGATAATTTACCCTGCTGTTTAACCTAATTAAATTGAAAATTATCAGATATAACAACGTGAAACACGATAATACTAGGTACGTGGATGGTTGGTCGCAACGTGAAAAAATGTGTACGAAACAATCGAAACGATACCGGCGACCATGGAAACCATGACTGATGAATTACCATATTCCGAATCCACTTGTGCGATAAATGAAAGACCAACACACTTTGATCTGACTCCCTTGCTTGTTTTAGAATGGCTATATCTCTTTCTCTTTCTCTCTCTGTCTATCTCTTGTGAACATCGTTACGATGCGAATACCACACTATTCTTGTCGACATTTTCATTTATCTCTCGTCTCAATTAATTAAATTTCCGTTTTTTTTTTTTTGCAGACATTATCTGTATTTCGTTGCATTGTCATTTTAGCATTCTGGTTTTGCAACGCACATCTTACATTTGCACATAATGTTCAGAGACATTTTAAGTGATCAATTTAGAAAGCGACAATGGATGTTGCAGACGTCGCGTGAAATGCACTCTAAAATGAGTGCTCAAACAAATAATTTAGATTTGAATGCATTTTATTATCAACAACAACCAACATCCGGTCCAATTTGATCGCGTGCAATCATCGTATGTTCACGAAGAGCGACAAAATGCGCGCTCAGCACAATCAAATGGGCGGAAAAATCAACCCATGTAGAAATTTATATATATATATTTCGTAATTTAAAGGCATCAGTGTCACCATTTATTAGATGCAGTTTGATATCAAACAAGTTATTTTACATTAAACGAATATAAAAGAGTGTTAACTTACTTAAGAGACTCTCGGAGGAAGAGAGAGAAAATAAAGTAGCGAAACCATACACGTTGAATGGGATATTCGGTGGTCGGTAAGCAGATTGCGCTTCAATGAAATGAATAAAGAAATACGGCAGAGGTATAGAGGTGTGTTTCCCGGTCGCCGGAGTCGAAATACTTAAAAAAATATCAAACTTCAAACACATCGCCCGATTTGGGTGTCAATTTTAGCACCACTTCCAAATCATCACCGTAATGGTATCTTTTTTTTCATGTATGTTTCACCGAAGTGGAACACATCAGCGGAGAGTAACGAGAATTGTTTTTTTTTCAACAAAGCGAGAAAAATGCTTGTTTTTTTCATCTTCTTTATTTTCGCGTGTCAAAATAGATAATTTCGATATGTTTCGTTCTCCAACTCTTTTGCACAAATCGAAATAATTTATCACGTTGCTCATGTAATTGTGCCAAGTAAATTATGTTTATAC